CTCCAAAGAAGACATACAGATGGCCAATAAACACATGAAAAAGACACTCAACATCACACACCATCAGGGAAATGCAAATCAAAACCACAATGAGATAACACCTCACACCTGTCAGAATGGCTAAAATCAACACAAGCAACAACAGGTGTTGGTGAGGATGTGGGGAGAAAGGAACCCTCTTGCACTGTTGGTGGGAATGCAAGCTGGTGCAGCCACTCTGAAAAACAGTATGGAGGTTCCTCAAAAAATTAAAAATAGAACTCCCCAGTGATCCAGGAATAACACTACTGGGTATTTGCCCAAAGAATACAAAAACAGTAATTCAAAAGGATACGTGCACCCCTATGTTTATAGCAGCATTATTTACAATAACCAAGATATGGAAGCAGCCCAAGTGTCCACCGACAGATGAATTTATAAAGATGATATACACAATGGAATATTATTCAGCCATAAGAAAGAATGAAATCTTGCCATTTGCAATGACATGGATGGAGCTAGAGGGTATTATGCTAAGCAAAATAAGTCAGAGAAAGACTAATATCATATGATTTTACTCATAGGTGGAATTTAAGAAACAAACGAAACAAACGAGCAAAGGGGAAAAAAAAAGAGAGAAGGGGGGCAAACCAAGAAACAGACTCTTTTTTTTTTTTAAGATTTTATTTATTTGAGAGAGAGAGAGAGAGAGAGAGAGAGCATGAGAGGGGAGAGGGTCAGAGGGAGAAGCAGACTCCCCACTGAGTGGGGAGCCCGATGTGGGACTCGATCCTGGGACTCCAGGATCATGACCTGAGCCGAAGGAAGTCGCTTAACCAACTGAGCCACCCAGGCGCCCCGAAGAAACAGACTCTTAACTACAGAGAACAAACTGATGGTGACCAGAGGGGAGAAGGTGGGGGGATGGATGAAACAGGTGATGGGGACTGAACAGAGCACTTGTGATGAGCATCAGATGATGTGTGGAAGTGTTGAATCACTATATTGTGCACCTGAAACTAATATTACACTGTATGTTAACTACCTGGAATTTAAAAACTTGAAAAAAAGAAAAAGGTAGAAACAAAGTTCATATGGAAGTAGAGCCACGACAATTTTTTAAAAAGGATGAGGAAAGGGCCCTGGAATAATGATAAAAACACATAATAAAGCTCAAAACCCCAAGCTGTGTGCTGCTTGCATAGAAATGGAGATAAGTGGAACAGAATAAAGAAGTAGAGCCATGAAAATAAAGGAATTAGTATTATATCATGAAAAGGGATGTCACAGCAGTGAAGAAAGGATGGTTATTTATAAAAGGTGCTGAAATAATGAACCACTGGGTTGCACGGGAACTTTAATCTCAACCCTCACCATATGGGAAAGCAAATTAATAATGAAGTTTAAAAAGCTAAATGTAAAAACAAACCCACAAGGGAAGAAAACACGGGAGGGTATTTTCATAATATTGGAGTGGGGAAGGAAAGACTTCCTAAGCAAGATACTGAATCCCAAAACCACGAAGGAGGAGCAGTCTCCTTCGGGTCCTCAGCACGGTTTTCGAGCACCTCCACTAGAGGGCAGGGCCCGCGCCTGTTGGCTCAGCCCCTCTATCCCAGGGCACGTAACAGGAGCTCATAAACACCTGCCGAATGGGCAGATTTGACTACGTAAAAATTAGGAAGTTCTACATAAGGAGACACAACAAACAAAGTTAAAAGACAAGTGATGGTCTTGGAGAAAAACAGTATTAGGTTGAGCCATATAAAATTCCCATTTTGGGGGGGGGTACAGGGGTAAAAATGGCTGAATATTAGCAATTTCATGTGGTGGGACCTAGTATTTTTAACACATACCAGATAAAGGATGAATCTATCTAATTTACAAAAGTCCTTACAGAACAACAAGACCAGCAATCCAACAGGAAAAAATGGTAAAGAATTTGAACAAGCAGATCACAAAGACAGAAATGCTAATATGTACCCCTCACTCCAGAGCAAGTGAAGCAAAAACTGAAACACAGACCATGGTTAATTTACCAGGCTGCAGAAATAGGATTAGATTGACATATCTAGTTTTGCTAAGGATTCGAAGAAAAGTGCACCCACACATTAGTGGTTGCGGTATAAACTGGTATAAACTTCTCTGGAATGTGATTTAGTAGTACCTGTTTGGCATGCTCTTAGGACTACCAATCTCACTTCTGGGACTCTCTTTCAGAGAAATATGTATTTTTAAAAATATTTTATTTATTTATTAGAGAGAGAGAGAGCACAAGCAGGGGGAGCGGCAGGCAGAGGAAGAAGCAGGCGCCTGTTTTGATTTTTTTAATGAGCATGTACTTCTACCACAATTTTTTTTTTTTTTTTTAAAGGCAAGGTGCAGTAAGAAAGGTACTGCCCTCTTTGGGGCACAGAATGGAGTAGAGGGAGCCATTAGAAGTCCAAGAACAGGAATCTAAGTTGAAACACCACCAAATCATATAAAGAGGACAGGTATTAAGGTCAAAAGACCTGGGTCTGAGTCTGGAAAGCTCATTAAATCTTTGAGCCTTGAATTTCTCACCTGTAAACTGAGTTGATACACCTACCTTAAAGAAATACTGGGGCCTACTGAATGAAATACAGTATGTCAAAGTGCTTTGCAAAATGGTAAAGTGCTTTAAGAATCAGGTTGTTATCACCGGTTGGCACGGCAAAGCCCCAGGTTGAAAACTGGAAAAACAAGGTGCTAAAGCTACAGAATCCTAAGGGGAAAAGAGGGATGGGAACTGATGGAATAAGAGAGATTTAAGAGACACACCAACCAATTAGAACGTGTGGACCCAATCTGCACCCTGATTCAAATAAACTATTAGACATATAGTCTAATAGTCTCACGAGAATGAGAAAAATGTGGATGCTGATTGTATATTAGATTATACTCAGAAGCTATTATAACTTTTTAGCTGTTAATAGGGCATTTATGGCTGTGGGTTTCTTTAATCATTGTCTTCTAGAGGTACATATAAAAATATTTATGGATGAAATGATATGATATCTGATATTGCTCCAAATAATTCACAAAGAGGAAAGGGTGGAAAATGGCCAGAGGCAGGGATGGAACAAGACTGGCTGGTGAAGGTGGGTGAGAGATAAGATTTGTGGCATGCTATTTTTCTACTTTTACAAATGTTTGAAACTTAACCTAATTAAAGTTTTTATAAAAAATGAATGGACCCCACCTTCCTCAGTCTACGAGGAGGTACCAAGACCCTTCTGAAGTCTGTTGCAGAAGTAAAACTGGGTAGAGCCTCACCAAGACTGGCCCCAAGGAAGGGCGGAGAAGCCCACGCTTTATTGCGTAAACACTGCGGGTGAGCAGGTGGTGCTGACAAATACCAAGATCAGAACGCATTCACATCTATCAAAGAAAGGCACAGTGCTTGGTGGGACCCACAGCGTTATGCCTACAGAAAGAAAAGGAAAATTTGGTACAAAATATAAGTGGCAGCTAACAGGATAATTAAACATCCAATTATAACTGCAGCTGCTGCGGATTATTTCAAACTGGCTTAATACTGTTACCAAGATTTCACGCCAGCGTTTACACTCCAAATGTCGATTAATGAATGGCTTAATACCTTTCTAGGCTCATCCTTTAATACTATTTCAGAAAAGTGCTATTGCAAGAAACTACCCCCAAATCCCAACAGATCAGCTGCACTGCTCTTAATAAAGTTAAACACAGAGAATTAAGCTGCCTCCGAAAGCTGACTTATTAATGTGAAGGGAAAATGAAAAGTCCTATAGCAAAAGCTTTATTTATATGCTTTTGGTAGCTACATTTTAACTTATCTTTCTTTTGCTTAGGATCCCCTGGTTGAGTGAGCAAGGGTGACCTTACTCCCAGTTCTGCCCTTGTTGCTGCCACTAAGGGGGACTAGGGATGGTGTCATTCAGTTGCCTTACTTTTCAGAGACTGCCTCATTCATAAAAGACCAAAACGCCATCCGTTGAGGCCCATCAGAAAACAATGAGATGGATCAAGTGAGACATTTTTACGCCCTTACCTTCCAAGGGGCTCTACTCCAGTCTATTTCTCATTACCTTCCTCCCCCCTGCACTGGCTTCCTCCAAAACCCACAATAACCCACCGCCTCCAGAGCCTAAAGAAAAGGGTTCTAGTCCTTGCTCTGCCACCAATAAGGAGGCAGGGCATCTCACGACCCATCGGTGAAATGAGGGGATCACACGGATGGTGTTCTGAGACCCCTCCAACGTTCTTATTTCCTCATGAGCTCCCCCTTAACTGGCTGAGAGAACCAACATGACAGATAGGTTTTCCTGTGAATCTCTAAGCCTAAGAGGTTGAGGAAACCAAAAGGAGAAGGGGAGGATCCTTAACCCCTTTTAAGACTCTGCCTAATTCAGGCCTGGCCAGAGGAGGAGGCTGGAGCTGTAAGAAAACTTAACTGCCGCCATGATACCCACTCCTTCTATCCAAAGTGACAAACACCTAATGGGGCAAGAGGCGAAGGAGGATGGGAGAAATCAAGGTCCTGGAGCTCTCCTCGGCCCCTTCCGTTACCTCCAACGTGAGCTCGATTCTGGTGCCCCCAGCTTTCCTCCTCTACACGGGCACATCCTGCTGCTAAGATACAGCATGTGAACTCAAGTGTGAAGGCCTCATGTACAATCTAAAATTCCAGCTTTCGTGGAGGATGGCCTTTGAGACAAGGCCAATCAAACAATCCCAAAATGACCTCAAATAAAGCTTCGAACCATCTGTGTATGGCAGAACATAAAGATATCCATTTGGTCCTTCTGTGCAGGTCGTTTCCAGGTGAGAACTGTGGCCATCTCAAGAGAGAAACTAATTCCAGGCTGCGGCTGCTGTCAAAACAGGGTTAGCTGTGTATTCGAGGGCCACGATCTCTTTTTTAGCAAGACATGCCTACTGGCTGCACTCTTGGGAAAAACAAACACACCGCAGAGAAGAAACAGCAATAGTTTGTTCAACTTGGTACTCATGCTTCTTACCCACATATTCTGAGAGGAAGACGACAAAGAACGGGGTGACCAGGTCATTAATTCCCTGGACATACCCACTGGCAGGGTGTCGGATGGCCCAGATAAATAGAATTCTTTCGAAGATCTAGGAAAATGAGAAAGAAGACATGACTGTTAAGCATAGGGATACGCTCCCTCCCTGCACTTGCCCACCTCACAACATACCTCAGGGATGCGGCCAAACTTTTATTAAATTCTAAAACTACTGTGGGACAAAGGAAGTATATAAAAACGCAGAAAGTTTCTAAGAAGCTGGTTGTTTTTAAGCAGGGGTGGACAGTTCTTGCCCTCTGTTTCTCTTTGCAGTAGGCAGTCACTGTGATCTAAAAGTGGAAAAAGGGCAGGACAGTGACACAAATGGCTGAGGAGAAGGTCTGCTATGGATGGCACTGACCGGGCCACCACACTCTCATTTGTAAATAACTGGTTCTCCATATCCAGAAGCAAGATGGTAGAACACCTTAGTTCTGATACCTTTTCTAAATCTTTTTTATCATCACAGGAAGTGAAGAGGAAACACCCTCTCCACCACGCTCTTTCTCCCCACGGAGACGGAAAGAAACATAGACTTAGATGTACTTCTAGCCCCGCCTGACTGGGAGCCAGGGACAGACTGTCAATGCAGGAAGTCACTTCGTGTATCAGGATGCAACCCGGACATTCGCTGGGGACAGGAAGTCAAATAAACCTAATCCTACAGCTGGGACCTTGAGAACAGAGAAATCAGCCTGGAACTCCATGGAAAAGCTGCTGGGGTTAAGTATATTGGCCACAAGAGGCCAGAGACCTACAGTGGGGAGAAAGAAAAGATTTTTGGGGTCCCTCTGCCTTCATTAGGCCCTCTCAATCCTCCCTCCGCCTCCTGCCCCATCTTCTCTGATGCTGCTTATCTCCTGGCTTCATCCTGGTGACCGCAACTCCCCAGTTCAACAAATTCTTTACACTGGCTTTGACTGGGCTGCCTTATGTCTCTAGGAGCCACATCAGAGGAATGGCAGAGCTGATGGTGACCGCGGACGGGGGTACGGGAGATGAGTGGGCCCCCACAGCGCATGGGCTCTGGGAAAGACTGCAGAGGCCTTCTCAGAGGTCAGGTGCAAGGGAGAACCACCCCCACCCCCAGGGAGAACAATAGCAAGGAAATGCTTGTATGGTTTTGGAGTTGGTGAGCTAGCATAGGAGAGAAGTAGAGAATCTAGAGACACAATAAAGGATGTTTTGCAGCCCCCATGTTGCATCTGCCTTCCAGCTGGCAGAGGGAGCTGAGAAACACACCCATTGTCTACACTCCTGCCCTTACAGGCAATGAGAACAAAGCCCGGCCTGGAAGCGAGATGGCCTCTCTGCCTCCACTAGACTTGCCCACTTGCTCTCTGGGGCCGAGGGAAGGGTGTGGCATCCTCACCTGTGTTAGGCCCAATATGCTAATGGAGAACCTTTTAAATTCTTTCCTACCTCCCTTGAAACAGAAGCTCAAGCTAGACCCACCATGCTCAGAAAGATCTCAAGTAGCCCCTGCCCGGTGGCCTATATCTGTCTGGGCGTTTCTGTTAGTTCTGAAGGACTCATCAGGGCTTCTACTCCATGCTATCAGCTCCTTGTGAATACACAAATCCCAACTGACTGGTTTTAACAATGGCCAAGTGCCTGGAAGCTAGTGGTTCATGGTCAGGAGACTTGTGAGAGTCCCTCTCTGGTCAGGATGGGACAATGCAGGGGCACCTGGGTGGCTCAGTCATTAAGCGTCTGCCTTTGGCTCAGGTCACGATCCCGGGGTCCTGGGATGGAGCCCCGCATCGGGCTCCCTGCTCAGCAGGAAGCCTGCTTCTCCCTCTCCCACTCCCCCTGCTTGTGTTTCCTCTCTTGCTGTCTGTCAAATAAATAAATAAATAAATAAATAAATAAATAAAATCTTTAAAAAAAAAAAAAAAGGATGGGACAATGCAGACGCACACACACTGTACAAGTGAAGATGCTGAAGACATAGAAATTGAAGAGCACCAGGCCTGGTTACCAGGGGAGACCAGGGAATCTTCATGACAGAGAAACAGTCTGGGATAATCTTGCCTTGTAGAGAGGAGCAAAGAGGATAATCCCTAAAGGTTTTTCTTGTACCTCTTGTACTTGTGCGGGTAATTCTGACTTATTATAGTCAATTCTCAAGTATCTTTCAGATATGCAAAGCAAGTCTTTCAATATTCAGTGTTAGTTCCCTGCTCCCTGGTTGGCATTTTAAGGATTAAGTAATACTCTTTGACTATAGCCTGCTAGATGTAAAGATGATTCAAGAAAAAATGGAAAGAATATACTTTGAGTTTCCTTCTTTGTATTCATGTTCCACTACTAGGAAAAGCATTTTCAACAAATTACTTTCCCTGTCTCAAAGTTTACAGTCAGCATGCACAGGTAAAAGAGAAGTTGCTGAACATCTCCAAGTTAAAGTGAGGAATAAGCAGGGCTGAGCTGTGGAAACAATGAGAGACACAAAGGGATCCTCAGTGGATTTTTACCTTCCTCTGAGCTGAATCTTAGAGGTAAAATAATGGTGTCACCCTCAAAATCGTCTTTAAGCTATTGGTAAGTTATGAGGGGTCCCACCAATAAAATTATGAATATAATCTAAAGTCAAATAGAAATTATCTTGAGCCATGTTATCACCACCCCTCTCTATATGAGGATAACTGAAAACAGAGTTCAGAAAGCACTTACACTCAGTGTCCTAGCTACTGTGAAGCTGCTAAGGAAATCCCTAATCTCAAGATGGTTATAATTACTGCTTGGGTCAAAAAATAATAGTCCCACTGAGACCTTCCATGTGCTTCACTAGCCTGTTAGGTCTCCCGATATCACTACTAATTCAGCCTCTGGGCGTATACCCAAAAGGATTTAAACCAGGGACTCAAACAGGTATGTACAGACCCATGTTCACAGCAGTGTTATTCACAATACCCCAAAGAGGGAAGCAACCCAAATGCCCATGGATGGACGGCTGGATTAACAACATGTGTTATACACACACAAGGACTATTACTCAGTTTTAAAAGGAAGGAAATTATGACACCTGCTACAGCATAGATGGAACTCTGAAGACATTCTGCCAAGTGAAATAAGCCAGTAACACAAGGACAAACATGATAGGATCCTACTTATTTGAAGTACCCGAAATATTCAAATTCACAGAGACAGAAAGTAGGATGGTGGTTGCTGGGAAATGAAGGATTATTGTTTAATAGGTGCAGAGTTTCAGGTTGGGAAGATGCAAAGAAGTCCTCATGATGGGTGGTGGTGACGGCTGTCCAAGTGTGAATACTTAATGGCACTGAAACTGTACACTTGAAAACGGTTAAAATGGTACCTTTCATGTTATGTATACTTATTGCAATAAAAACCAAACACCGCCCCAGCGTGATAAAGTAGAGCAAACACAGAACTAGGAATTCTAAGGTGTGGGTTCTCGTCTTCATTCTGCTCCCAGGTAACTGTAAGACTCCGGGTAAGTCCCTTAACTTCTCAAAGCGCTACCTGGCCCCTAGGTTTGTTAAGAAGAGCAGATGAGAAAGCCCAAGAATGTGCTCTGCAGGGACCACAGCTCCATATCTGAACATGAGGCACTACCACAATCGGCCGTCAACCTGCCCACGGTTGGAGGGAGGCCTAGGGCACGGCCGTGCGGAACAGGCACTGCAGGGGTTACCGCGGGGCAGAGGGGGCTGAGGGGGCTGGGGAGAAGGGCCCAGAACGTCAAGTACTTCCCTCACCTCCTGTACAAGTGGCTGCTGGAACAACGGAATGAGCGGGTTTGTCCTTGGAATGTCAATGTGAATCTGAAAAAGAGAAGTCAGGTCTAAAAACACAAATGCCAGTTTGTTCTTTTGAGAAGTTGTTTTCTTAGGAACTGGGAATCCAGGGAGTAAGAGTGAGAGCACATTTTATATTTAGAAAGAAGTGACAGACACACCAAAAAAGTCTAGTGAAACCCACCTGTCCATCTGGAATACATTTCCATGAGAGCGAGAGCTTACTGAAAGTGAGGAAACCTCCCCAAATAAACCCCTCACATCGACTAGCAATAGGCTTCACAACCTAAGAGGATCAACCGCTTTTTCCTCTTGCTCTGGAGTCTGTTTCACTCTGGGCTGGCACTTACTCAACAGGTATGATCAAAATGGGTACCCCTCCTTCAGAATCTTCCTCCTCAACAGTCGCCAAGGACTGGAAGGGCTCTGACGGCTGCATTCATGTGCCAGGACGGGGAGCCCAAGGGAGCTGGCACTGGAAGTCCTCACTTCTGTTACCAAAGAGATCACTATGGTTGGTTTCAGCTTCAGGATGTCTCAGCACCCAGTCTGACGACCCTAAGGACTGTGTCGGCGGCAGCAGAGGCTACTTCAGTTCCCGAGGCTTGCTGAGGTCTCCCCCCTCCCCTTCTTCTCCCTCCCCTCCTCTTTCAGCAGGCTGCAGGGACAGCTGTGAGGATGACGGGACACTCCCTGCCGAGCCTGCTGGTAACTACTGTTCCTGCAGACAGACGGACAGATGGGGGCCCTGAGAAGGCGCTACGGCTGCCAGAAGGACATACTAATGTCACACGGTCCAGAGGGACTGCACCCCTCCCGGGCGAGCTCATCTTTCACTCTGTGCCCCATGATCCTTACTACTTGCCGTCTGGGGACCAGTAGCACCATCACCATCTGAGAGTTTGTTTGAAGTGAAGGTCTCACCCTAGACCCACTGAATCAGAATCTGCGTTTTATCATAATCCTTAGGTGGGCTTTTATCAAGATCCTAGGTGATTTGTATGCACACTAAAGTCTGAGAAGCACTGCAGTGATTAATGCCAAAAAAAAAAAAAAATCTATTTAAAATGGCTAAAATCAGAGCTATTCATTAGAAAGAGGGGAAGCAGTTCTAGGAATAAATTTAATTCTTAACCAGCACATCAGAGCCGGAAGACTTGGAAATCCTGCACCATGACAGTACTCCCAGGAGACAAACCATTATGACTAGTAATCAAAAAGGGTGACGACTGTACCTGTCGGTAGGTATCCTGGTGATGTTCCTCATTTCGAGAGTCATAATACTGCTCAATGAAGCCAAAATATTCCTCCCGCTTCCGCTGCAGGGTCAACTTCCTCCTCTCGGTGTTTGCTGGAAGATAGCCCTACAAACAGGACTGCTGGTCAGATGGGGACACAGGTTGGTTGGATGAATCCTTAATTTTTTATTTTAGCCTGAGGAGTGGCTTATAAACTGTGGAAGGAATGGAAGGACAACTGCCAAGAGGACAAGAGTCATCCCTTCTTGGGTCTGGGCCACCCAGTGCTTGTGCTCTCCTCCTTCAACGAGCCCCACATGTGGGCAGATGAAGCAAGGCCCGCTTTCCCAGGGTTGGTTACACCCGTGGCCCCACACCGCATGGGGTGCGCGTTCTGCGGGCCTGCACTCCAGAGCTCTGGGAGTTGGCTCGGCAGAACAATGAATGTAGGTCAACGGGAAGGAACTGGACCCAAGTCGGGGCCTCTGAGGGCTGCATGTGTGAAGGTAATACGTCCAAGAATCCCAGCAATACGGCCACCTCGATGACGCATCTCAGTGGCGAGCCATGTACGTCCGGGCCAGTCACATAATCTTTTCCACGGTAACAGTCAGAATTCCCAGCTTAGGAAGCTGAATGGAATCTGGGACATAGCGACAATGCACAGACACAGAACTCCTGGCAGGGGCCTGCTGCCTCGCCAAACTCCAGGCCAACTTCCCTCCTCACCCCTGGTCTAGATCCCACTCTCCATTCTTGCATCTCCTGCTCCCCTTCCATTCTCACCAAATCTACTCTTCACTGCACCTGCCCTTCCTGGAAGTGGCCCAGGCACTGATAACACGGTTGCAGGACTGGGGAGCGGGGAGCATTCAGGAAGAGAGGCCCTTCCTCTCGCAGACATTTATGTACTACATCCCACGGCCAGTGCCTGGAGAGCGGGGACTGTGCTTTATTCATGGCCACCTATCCGTGCCCGGCAAACAGCAGGCCCTTAATCATTCCTGACTAGATGGATGAATGAATGTGACCAGCTCAGGAAATCCTAGTGTCCCTATCCCAGGGGCTGGCCCAGTGCTCTGTCCTTAGGGAAAGCAGGACTAGTGCAGGCTTCTGAGGGAGGCCCATTTCTCAGCCCTTCACGGCTGCAGAGTGGCTCTCCCCTGCTCTGGTTATTCCTACTGGAAAAGGAGGCAAGTCCAGGGAACGTGGGAGCTGGCCCAAACAAGTGCCGGGATCCCCATCTCACTACACTCTTTCTCCCTGGTGTTGAGAATGTGAGATTGTGACCACAGGGAAAAGCGGTGCTCCTCTATACGTGTGTGAGTAAGCTTGCAAGAGTGTGTTTCTTCATGCACAGAAATAAGAGGACAGTCCCACAGATCTGCCGTACCCATTGGGACTGGAGAAGTCTATGCAGTAAGATGAACGTGTCCAGACTAACCTCATCAGGTAAGAAGGGCTGTGTGAGGCTCACGCTTCTCTACACAGTGGACAGAACTCACCGACAGGAGTCTCCAGGTTACAGGTCGAACCTCCCTGGGAACCCCTGGCCAGCTACACTTCCTCAGTTCATCTGCAAACAGATAACAGCTGTGTTGGATTAGCTCTTCCCACCAAGGCCCTAAGACGAACCTCAGCCAGCACTGCCTGATTCCTCCCACCGTTCAAGAAAGACCACCAGCACCAGCACCAGCAGCGGCTACCGACAAGCACAGGGAAGAAGCCCCGAACAGCAGCCCTGAGCAGCAGAGTGGCCAAGACACGGCTCGGCGGTGGTGATGCAGTCAGCTCGGAGAGCAGACGTAGAGGGGAAAAGGCAGACCAGTGAGTGTGGGTTTCAGTCAGAACTGCCTCGAAGTAGGGGAGACGGAAGCCAGAAGAGTTGCACTATGGTCTACGGGCCACAGAATCCAGTCCCACCTAATTTGGTCCCTAATTTCTAGTAACGTACTTCTGACTTAATACCAGCATGTCACTGCAATGGGCATCAGATCAGGTGATGCTGGAAAAGTAAAAGAAGGAAGAATAAAGAGCAATAGCTTCCAGGTCTCTCTGTGAGAATTCCAGTCACCAAGAGCTCCTACCTTGCCCAGGGGGCTCACGGGGACTCACCTAAGTCAGTGTTGTGGCTGGAGAGAAGCTGACGGAATTTTTCTAGGCGGGTTTTCTCCCGGACAGTCATCGGGGGCGCCCCGGACGCATTCTGGTCCGAGATGCGGGCAACCAGGGGGATGATGGGTCGGAGAGGGAGTGACTGCTGTTTGTGGAGCGGGTTCCTCAGGCATGTATCACCTGCGAGAGTGAAAAGGAGACCAGGCGGCGTGTGGAGCATGGCCTCGGAGGAGCCCCACGCTGGCTGCCCAGCACCAGCCCCGCCGCCAGAAGTGTGTCTGTGCCGCAGGCGGGGTGCCCGAAGGTGCCCGCTGAGGGGCGGCCGGTGACGCAAAGCCAGCTGCGCCCCACGCATCTGCCCGGAGGAAGGGCTGCATTGTGATCACATCCTCCCAAGGCGCCCTCCGTGCTCACAGAGACTCCGGATGCCGTAGCAACTCTGAGCACTTTTTTGGCCACTCCGGAGGGAAACCAAATGTTTCCATTCTACCCCAACTTAGAACGTTCCTTCATGCCTAATACTGAGTTTGGGGGCAGCAGAGCCTAAGGCAGCGTTTGCCTTCCCTTTCCACATCACAGAGCACGTGCGCAATGACGACACAGGAGAGCGTGTGTGATAAAAACAGGTGGCTGCTGGCCTGAGACCCCAGGCCCCACGCGGCAGCCCAAGGGCTGGAGGATCAAGAGCCACGGCACAATCCTGTTTGGGGAGGCTAAAGTTCCTCTGTGCTCCCACATTTCCCACCAAGAGGAACCAGCTTTTAATCCTGCTGGGATATGATTGAAATAACAACAGGAATACAGACTTGAGCAGAACCATACGTCTGGTTCTAGACATTTCTAACCTAGATGGTAGGCAGGAGAGAAGAGTGGTGACGGACTGACATTTACTGAGCTCTTACTATGTCTAAGACATCAGGCGGGTCACATTTACCTAGGATCTCTCATTTGATTCTTACAACATACGGTAGGGATTTGGTACTCCTTTACGGAGGACGAAACTGCAGCTCAGAGAGGTTAATGGTGATTTGCTAGTGAGACCTGAGATGTCACCTTAGGTCTATCTGCCTCCAAAACCCTTATTTATTTTACTACTCCAAAGAAAACTCAGTTTTAAATTCTGACTGTCCTTCCATAGCTGTTTCATATTCTTCAACTGTCTGGGCCTTAAAAACCAGTAGTCACAACAAGAATTAAATGATGAACACTCCGCAACCCGCACAACTAGAGGGCTGACGGAAACGCCTGCCACAGGGTATTCGGCTGGGGTGCCTTGTGACACGTGGGGCCTAGAGAGCGATGTGAACCTCTGATACCCAGATTCACGGATGATGCTCACAGAAGGGACCCTCATAAAGGGAATGTTCTGGACGGTCCTGGCTGCATAAGGGCAGCACCTTCATTAGAGGCTGTGGCGGGGGCCTCCCTCACAATGGGACCCTTGGAGACCCTCAGTCACAGCACACAGACACTTCCAAGAGCCTACAGCTATGCCCACTCCGTCCACCAACAGCGAATGCCCATGTGGGCATGGCCCTGAGTCCGTGATGGAAAGTGGCCGTGGAATAATTTTAAAGGCATTAGGGCCTAATTTCACGACCATGTGCTTATTCTGAAACTGGAGTTGTTGTTCCCTTAGAACGCAAGTCGGGACACACTCCAGGGCTCTGCCGTTCCTCCGCTTCCTTTTCACCCTTTCCCAGTCAGCTGTTCTAACTTTCACTGGAATGATGACACTTCCCTCTCCAGCTCAGAATAACTGGCTTCCATAAAACCCCTTAGAGCAACATTACATACAGCCATGGATGCTAAAAAGAGTACACTGACGGTCCCCAAACATCGGATAAAGCCACCATCACCTTGACCAATTGCTGAAAAAAAGAAACAGGAGGGGTGTCTCCTCCCACCCCTCCCACCTGATGGGCAGGGAGCTGCGACACAGGGCCTGCAGGCCCACGTTGCTCCATCCCTCGGGAGCAGGAAAAAGCCAGCCCGATGCTAGCGGGTGCTCCCCAGGGCTGAGGAGGCCAGCCAACAGTGCCAAACGTTTGTGGAATTCAGCCACCACCAGCTTTACATACGCCAGTCAATATTCTTAAACCTGACCACGTCTAAAGCAAAGTGAAGCAACCAAACTGCAAAAGTCTGGGAAAGGAAGAAGAGAATGGCAGGCAACGCTGGGCGTCAGGAACTGAAGCCCCAGAGAGCCATCAAGGTGGGAGGAGTAAGTACAGCCTATGACCCATCAGGTCACTGATGTGGTACGACAGGCTTGAGCTTTCACGTTTATCATCCAGTGAAAGATCTGAGTGATGCCCTAAAGAAAAACTGTGTATTTAGAATGCACTCTGCTGAAAAGGCTGAGGCTATAGAGGGGAACAGGATGGACTTACTGGAATTTCTGGACAGCTGAGCGTCACTGCTGGACTTTATGACCTTGTAGCTGGCAGGAACATCAGATGTTGTTGACTGGGAGCGTTCTGGTTTCACCCTCAGCTTGCTGTGGTTTTCCAGGACTTGGGCTGCGGTTGCCAGAGCAACTTTTGAGTTTAGAGTTTGGAAAGAAGGGGAGGAAAAGTCCTCTTCCTCATCATCACCAATGTCCCAAGCATCACTGGTATTCCGGGCAAACTCATGGAAACTGGAGGCCTTCTTACTCTTCAAAGGAACTGCGTTGACTTTGGACCGTTCTTTGATGAAGCTTTAATAAAGGAGACATTGTTACCAAGGAATGATCTGATACGTCTGACCACGTTCACTTGCTTAATATTACCAGTATGACAAATTACCTCATACACAGTCTTTACTTTTTCAAACAAAAAAACCCATTCATATCCATTCCTCATCTAGACACATCTGGACCAGCACTATGCTACAGATACAGATGTAGTAAAGATTGCAATGCACCCAAATATCCCATGTGCTCCTCTCTATTTCCAGCCCCCTTGTACTCAGGTGAGGCCAGATGACTAGTTCCAGCCAATGGTCTGAGGAGAGAAGTGAGGCTAATCACTGCCAAGCCAAAGCAGACAAGAAAGGTGTGAGTTCTCTCTATAAGCTTTCTTCTACCTTGGTAACTGGCGGGGAGCCAGAGGGTGGCACCTCCCTCACCTGGGAAACAGAGTGGCTGCGTGGAGCAGGGCCTGCCCCCCTCTCCCACTCAACTCAACTTTGGACATGTAGCATGAGCAAGGAAGAAACCTTTGTTGTGTCAATCCACTGAGATTCCAGAGCTAATCTCTTACGGCAACATAACCTATTCCTTAGAGTAGAACATAAAGCACTGGCAGAACCAGAGATAATTTTAGGTAGTCCATATGCAGCATTAAACACTGAGTTCCAGAATGAACGAGCTGTTCCTTTTCCATTCTGTTAAAGCCCTTCTGCTAGCCGAGAGGAGACGGTCTCATGTGGTGCTACTCAGTCTTTAAGACTATTTTTTAACAAAGAGAGGGCAGCCTCAGGATCAACACATTTACAAGCAACATCGGCTGGCTTAGAATTTTATTAATAAGATTGCTTTGGGGGCGCTTGGGTGGCTCAGTTGGTTAAGCGACTGCCTTTGACTCAGGTCATGATTCCGGAGTCCTGGGATCAGGGAGCCCTCTTCTCCCTCACCCTCCGCCTGCCGCTCCTCCTGCTGGTGCTCTCTCTCTCTCTCTGACAAATAAATAAAATCTAAAAAAAAAAAAAAAGATTGTTTTGTTTCTCGCTGTATTTATTTTTTAAAGTTACTTTCCATTTTTGGCAAATGATAATTGGCTTTCTACTTTTAATTTATAGAAGTGACAGGTTTACTTTAAAATATAAATCTGGGGCGCCTGGCTGGCTCAGTTGGTGGGGCATGCGGCTCTTGATCTCAGGGTTGTTAGAGCCCCACATTAGGTGTAGCGATTACTTAAAAATAAAATACTTAAAAAAATAATAAAATATAAATCTAATTGAGTTTTTTAAAAAGTTCATTTTTTAAAATGCATTTGGTAAATAATAGTACAGACTGTGGCAAAAAACTGTAAAGATGGTACATGACTAAAGTCTGGGAAATACCAGATTAATTCACTGATGAAAGAGCCTAGTTCTAAGAGTCATGCAGACCATTCCTACTTTCCTGACTTTTTCCCTCTTTGTCTCCCCATTAACGTCTATGGGCCCTTATTCTGGATCCAGGGGACTATGTAGTTGGGACAGTCCTTCTTTTTTTTTTTTTTTTTTTTAAGGATTTATTTATTTATTTTAGAAACAGAGAAAGAGAGAGAGAGAGCACATGTGCACGCACACGTACACGTCAGAGGCAGAGGGAGACAGCATCTTAAGCAGACTCCATGCTGACCCAGAGCCTAACTTGGGGCTCTATCTCATGACCCTGAGATCATGACCTAAAACCAAGAGTTGGATGCTGGTTGGGACACTTCTAACTCAGTCTCGTCCAACACCCCTCGAACCCCAAACCTCATATAAATTTACACCCGGGGACTGGAATGCACTGGAGTAAAGACATCATTAAATGCCTGTTTCCTCCAGCAACATACAGTGACCCTAGCAGGGAAACAAGGCTCTGCCAGAAGAGCAGAAGTTCCCCCATTTCCAGGCGCTGTCTCTTCCTCTTGGGCAGAGGTGGGCGGTCTAATAACCCATCTCATCTCCCTAGAGGAGTCCAATGCTTATTCTGAGAGATAATGGTTATTAACATTGATGAATACAGTCTGACAACTCATACAGCTCATCACAACGTCCCTACTATTAGCATCAGAAAAGGAATAAGATTTCCTGAGGCGTTACTTTCAAACACTGGTCTCAGACAGAGTAAAGGAAGAAAAGACATCACACAAAATGTGTGATGAGAGAAAACCAGATTACAAGATGTAGCAGTTCAAATGTGTTGGAAACAAAATACCATTTCGCACCTGCTCAGTTAGCAAAGATCTAAAGGGTGTTTCTCAGTGTTGACCAAGATGCAGTGGGACCTCCATCTGATACTGTGGGGGGGGGGGGGGATGGGGAGGGGGATGTAATACTGTACAGCCTTCTGGAAAACAATCTGGCAACATACATATCATAACCTCTGACCCTAACAGAATAACCAGAGGGTCAAAGAGGCTCTAAGGCAGTTTATCATGGTGTTACTTATTTTGGTTAAAAACTGAAAACAACATAAACATCTAGAAATTGGAAATGATGAAATAAATTACAGTTCAGCCACCAGACGAAATGTTATAATGCCAATGAAAAGCACATCTTACAGGCTATTTAATAACACTAGCAAATGATCTCAATAAAGTGAAAACTGGAACCAAAAAATATATTTTTATAATATCTGTATTAAAAAAAAAAGCAGGGGCGCCTGGGTGGCTCAGTCGTTAAGCGTCTGCCTTCGGCTCAGGTCATGATCTCAGGGTCCTGGGATCCAGCCCCACAGTGGGCTCCCTGCTCTGCAGGGAACCTGCTTCTCCCTCTGTCTGCTGCTCCCCCTGCTTATGCGCTCTCTCTCTCTCTCTCTGTGTCAAATAAATAAATAAAATCTTTAAAAAAAAATAAAGTGAATAAATCTTTTAAAAAAAAGAACAAATAGGCAGATGTGTAAGATCTGTCATCAATAAAATACTGCATTGGAGTCCATGGTTATTGTTGTTTTCCTCTTTGAAGGCAATGTTTACCTCAAGATTGCACATGATGAACCCAACAGTGATATGGAGTGGGTTCACTACTGTTTTTTTCTGGTTGATGTTTCCTAAATATTCTTTTATTTTTATTTTTATTTATTTATAATTATTTTTTTTTTTTGAGAGAGAGAGAGAGAGCATGCATATGTGCCTGTTGGGGGGGGGGGGGGTAGGGGTTGGGAGAGGGGTGGAGAGAACTCAAGCAGACTCCCTGCTGAACATGGAGCCCGTCACAGGGCTTGATCTCACAACCCCAAGATCATGACCTGAGCCAAAATCAAGAGTCAGATGCCTAACTGACTGAGCCACCCATGTGCCCACCCCCCTTTTTAAGTAGGCTCCACACCCAACATGGGGCTTGAATTCACGACCCTGAGATCAAGAGTTGCATGCTCTACTGACTGAGCCAGCCAGGTGTCCATCCTAAATACTCTCTTGATATTTTGAGGATTTTTAAAAAATAAGCCATCAAATCAAGAAGCTGAATTTTAACTCTGGTGAAAGAATCGGCTGGATGCTGAATTAACACTGGCTGAAGCACATGCACACCCTGGAGTGGATTAAAACACTATACCAAGAGACGGGCCGTGCTGAGCATCAGGCTCTAACTGACACTGAGCTTTCTATATAAATGAAGGAGGTAAATCATCTGAGTGGTGGGTACATGAGGGTTTGTTACATTTTTCTTTACACCTTTTTATGCATTTTAAGTATTTCATTGTATTTTTTGAAGCAGATAAAGATTCAGTGTAAGTCAACTATTGAGATTAAGAATTGGAATTTCCTCAGATGAAGACTTTTGCAAATAGAAATTGGAAGGACATATTCCAACACAGTAAGAGCAAAGAAGGGAGGAAAGAATGTCATTCCCTTCAACAGAAAAACAGACAGTCAAAGCAGACCATTTTGAGGCTGCTAGAAATCATTTTAGGGATACCTATTCCACAAAGCCCAAAACTCAACCAACCAGTTAAAAAAGTCAGCTCTGTTCTTAGGAAAGAGGCCTTCATGGAGGAGGGGGTTCATACCCCTAAAGGGGTAGGAGTCTGAGGACAGAAGGTTGGTGAGAACCACTCACAGAACCAAAGAGGCATGTCAGAGTGAAAAGGTACCTGGGTTGCCACTGAGAGAAAGCAGTAAAATCTACAGACCAGCAACAATGGGGGGAAGATTTAAAGCTGAAGCATTTCCATGTTTATTCATTCTGTTCTCTCCAGAGGAGATAATATAAATTTACACATACCCAAAAGTTAACATGGATTGGCTATTTACTGGGTGCCAGGTTCTGTGCTGCTATATACACCCATTTTCTGATTAATGCTCATTCATAAGGCTATGAGGTACTATTATCATCATCATTATTATTTCCATTTGCAGATAAGGAAATTGAGGCTTACTGAGGTTATGAGCAGGCAGCAAAGTCTGGGCTCAAACCTAGGTCTACCTGACCTGAGAGCCTGCATACACTCTTTTTAACTAATCTACCTAGAAAAAGAGGTCTAGTAAGATCCGTGGCCTGGGTAGAGTTGTTGCCAAGTGAACCGAGCATGTGACACCACAGCTTTAATTTCCCAACTGTGCACAGCTGGGAGCCCCAGCGTTCTCACCTTGTAGCAATCACTTCTTGTCTACACGAACAGGCTGTGTATGTTGGTGGCCAGAATGGGAAGAAGCCACATCCAGGAATACAGTCATTGGAGAAGTCTCTCTCTTCCCTTTTGACATCAGCAGTCACAGTCAAAAAACCAATCCAGGTAATCCTAGCTGGGGGTACCTCTGGATTATAGGCTGCCTCATTTTTTTTTTTTTTAAGATTTTATTTATTTATTCATGAGAGACAGAGAGAGAGAGGCAGAGGGAGAAGCAGGCTCCCAAGGAGCAGAGAGCCCGATGCGGGACTCGATCCCAGGACCCTGGGATCATGACCTGAGCTGAAGGCAGTCGCTTAACCAACTGAGCCACCCAGGCACCCCAAGGCTGCCTCATTTTAACATGGTCCCAACTAATTAATAACCAACCCAAGGCATCCTAATACAGTGTGGCTCGAAGTTTAGCCAAGATTGTTTGAACAGATCTACATCAAACTCACAACCAGGCTGGCCTCTCACAGAGACCTTCATCACACCTCCTTGCAACTAAATGCCAAATTATCATTTAAAAAGCACTTTTGAGGGTGCCTGGCTGGCTCAGTCAGTGGAGTGTGCAACTCCTGATCTTGGGGACATAAGCTTAAGCCCCGTGTTGGGTGTAGACATTACATAAAGATAAAATCTAAAAAAAATTAACAATTAAAAATAAAAGGCACTTTGGCAAAGACCTCATTTAATCCTCACAACAACTCTGACATGAGTCTTATTATTTCTCTTTTATGGATGAAGGAACTAAGGCTCAGAGAGGTCAAGTAATTTGCCCTAGACCATGGAGCTAGAAAGTGATGAAGAAAAAGAGACTCAAGAAGTGCACAAAACGTAATAAAAAATAAACGGCACATCTGAGAGAAACTTAGTTGTTTGGTGAATGGTAACTTGTTAAATGGGGAACACAAACCCCAAAGGATATTTTGAATGATTTTTTTTTTTAAAGATTTTATTGATTTATTTGACAGAGAGAAACAAAGTGAGAGAGGGAACACAAGCAGGGGGAGTGGGAGAGGGAGAAGCAGGCTTCCCGCCGAGCAGGGAGCCCGACGCGGGGCTCGATCCCAGGACCCTGGGATCATGACCTGAGCTGAAGGCAGACGCTTAACGACTGAGCCACCCAGGCGCCCCTCAAAGGATATTTTGAACAAGAGTGGTTGCAGGCTCTGCTGGTTAGGAAACAAAGGATTGATCACTCTGTAATTTGATGGATATGACACTGTTTTGCTGATAGGGCTGCTTACTTAATAGAAACAGGACACGAATTTATTTAGAAAAATAACGTCTGACACTGGTAAGGGGCAGGAAGCAAGTGGGGGCATTCAGTAACGTTCAAATAAACCCAGTCATCACAATAACCAGGGTGGCTTCCTGTGAACTAGCTTTGCAACCCGGAACTAGGACCTATCATATTTTAGTATCAACTCAGAAAATAATAAATTTAGAAGCTTGTCATACCATCCAGTGGCCAATGGGGCCACTCTGCAGTAAGACTAGTTTTATCTGAGCTGTAAAAATTATTGCAGGCAATATTATCATTAATGGTAATAATTTGGCAAATTGAAGTCACTATATCCAGACAGGGAACGGTGTACTCTGCTCATGCAGTTTAGATGATTGAAGACCCAGCGTAAAGGCTTCTGCTGTGATGGGGATTAACCACGCAGTAATTAATGGCAGTCTGAAGTGGAACGATAATCATGTAGCGGAGAAAGTAATAAAAATGTCCCAACAAAGGTACTAAAATAAGGGCAATAAATGTTTTATAGTAACAATCTGGAATTGTGAAATGGTCCGTGCAGACCTAGATGCTGTTCCATGTTGCAGAGTACTAATAACAGACCTCCATGTGCATGTAAAGGGGAAGCAATTTATTCAGTGACAATTATATTCCTCCCAAATCACAGAGCTAAGTGATTACTTCTATTGGAAGTATGATTGCAACTCTGCTGAATGATCAGAGAGAACATTCGTGGTTTTATATAACTAATAGGTGGGAAAACAAAAGTGGATAAAATGTGTCTTGATAGTCTGGGGTATGGCAATATTCCTCAAGACCTGTCCTTAATAGAGAATCAGGGAAAACTCACTCAGTAACGGATGCAGACAAGGTGTGGTGAGTCTGACATGAACATAAAACAAGACAGCACACTCTGCTGCCTTATGTGTGGGTGGGTGGACTGATTTCTAGGTTAGCTCTGTTTTTATCAAAGGCCATTATAAAATACACTGGAATGGACCTACTACCAATCAACAAATCCTGGACATGAACAGAACTGGCTACAAGGAACAGAATACTCAACTACGATGCTTAAATTGTCAAGACCATGATGTCAAGGCACTTGGGCAGGTGTCTCTGTAGGTCTCTTGGCCTTTCCCTCACGTTACAAGGTAGCTGCTAAAGCTTCCAGCATCTCATTTTCCCACTACCACATTCAAAAGCAGGAAACGTGAGTGGAGACAAAAAGAGGCTCTCTTCACAAAATGATCTCTCTGGTCGAACCAGAAAATCTTTCCCAGTACCTTCCTTCAGGAGACTTTTACATCTCACTGGCCAGAACCAATGAGATAAGCCCACAGTAGGCCAGTCACTGAGATTACCAAGAAATTATTATAAAAGGCTTAAACTAATACGGATACCTGCTCTAAGTACATTTCACCGACTCAAAAGCTGAATAAAATTATGGTTCTTGAGCAAGAAGCAGCAGGGGCAGGGAAGACTGTTGAGGAGTGCCTGCTACGCTGGCCAACAGACCAGATAGTCTCTTATTGGTAAAACCAAGAAACAGAATGCATTTACTTAATGGGAATGTCACAGAAAACATGCTCCCCCCGCCCCCCAAAGAAGAGCAAGGTACGAACTAAGAAGCACTGAAGTAAAGCCCACTGACTAAGTAAATGCAGTGATCTCACTCTTCCATTCCATAAATGTTTACCCAGTGCCTACTGGGTGCCACATGCTGTTCCAGGGACTAAGGGCACAGTGGTGAATAAAACAAAGTCCCTGCCCTCAAAGAGCTTATACTCTAGTGGTTTCTGATATAAAACCCGTGCATTACAGAAAAGAACAGGAGTCACACTTCCACAGTCATTCAGAAGCCCATACCTTCCACATACTGGCCAAACTGCAAAAAGAATGAGTTTGGGGGGCAACCGGGTGGCTCAGTCATTAAGGGTCTGCCTTCAGCTCAGGTCATGATACCAGGGTCCGGGGATCGAGTCCCACATCGGACTCCCTGCTCAGCCTCTCCCTCTGCCCCTTCCCCCTACCACTCGTGTTCTCTCTCTCAAATTAAATCTTTAAAAAAAAAAAAAAATGAGTTGATAGAATTACAGAAAGTTCACCACATATTCAGCTAAGTTACTTTTTTTTTTTTTAAGGATTTTATTTATGTATTTGACAGAGAGATAGAGAGCACAAGTAGGCAGAGCGGCAGGCAGAGGGAGAGGGAGAAGCAGGCTTCCCACTGAGCAGGGAGCCCGAAGTGGGACTCAATCCCAGGACCCTGGGATCATGACCTGAGCTTAAGGCAGATGCTTAACCCACTGGGATGCCTGGCCCTGCTTTTTTAAATATTAAAATTCTGATAATGTACATCTGACGGAGCATTTTTGTAGGTATTCAAAATATTTTAATATACATTATCTTTACTCCCTCCTTGACTGTGAAGGGAGGAAGGGTAGATATTATTACACAGGCCCCAAAAGGATGAAAACCTAGGCCTCCCGTACCTCTTAAATCATTCAGCTTTCACTACAAACTACAGCTTTCCTAGAAATAAGTCTCTAAGATTAGCATACCCAGAGACAGAACCCAAAGTTCTTAGAAAATCTAAGAGGACACATCTCATTTAAATTCACTGTGGCTGAATGATGGCCCATGAGAGAAAGGAGTGATAAAGTGATAATTTGGGGTATGAATACACACCCACACATCTCGGATTTAACCAGCATTTCTATTGTGTTTGAAAATAATTTATTAGAATTTTACTAGAGAAATAACCTCCAGGGAGCTTTTAACTCTACTGTCTGGCTGGATTTCTTTAAGGGTGTCAGAGAAAAAGAGAACCTGAAGAATGCCAGACCTACAGTTATATTCTATTTGCCCTCATTCTCATAAAACATAAGTAAGGAAAAGGTAGCAGACCTGTATATGTTCAGAAGCAATGAACCCCAGAAACCAGAGGAAGGTCATCAATCGTCCAATTTGGGGACCATATTTAATCAATAAAGATCCTTCCACCACAACACAGTCCAACACCAAACCCTGCATAAACCAGCTTCTGATGTAGGAAAACCAAAATCTCTGATGTGAGTTAGTTTCCCACTTAGTAATAGACTGTTTAGAGGTAAGAAGATTGCTTATCTTCTGATCCAAAATAGAGGAGGGAAGAAGCTAGAAAAGATCAAAGTAGAAACTGTCATTTCAACAAAGTAGGGGAATGTTCATTAAAAGAAGTACATGCATGAATGGAAAAATATCTTGGCTTACTTTTTGGTGAGTCGAGGGTCCAGAGGAGGGTGTTGTGCTCCATACACAGGCTGGATGCTAAAAGCAAGAAAAAAGAAAAAGCAGCAAGTTGTCAGGAAGCTAAACATGTTGGGTAAGTACCATCTGCATTACAAAATCAGAAGGGACTTTGAGAAACAGGTTACCTCCAAGAACAACTATATCCATACCAAAGGATAGCAACCTGCTCTTTATTTATTTATTTTTTTTTTAAGATTTTATTTATGTGACAGAGAGAGAGATAGTGAGAGCAGGAACACAAGCAGGGGGAGTGGGAGAGGGAGAAGCAGGCTTCCCGCTGAGCAAGGAGCCTGATGCAGGGCTCGATCCCAGGACCCTGGAATCATGACCTGAGCCGAAGGCAGAGGCTTAACCAACTGAGCCACCCAGGCGCCCCACAACCTGCTCTTTAAAAAAAAAAAGAAGAAGAAGGTTCACCCAGCTGGCTCGGTCGGTAAAGCGTGCAACTCTTGATCTCAGGGTCGTGAATTCGAGCCCCACACTGGGTGCACAGATTGCTTAAATAAATAAACTTAAAAAATAATTAAAAATGAATCAATAAAGTCTCTGGAGAATGTTCATCTTCCACTGGGGTTTCAGCACCCTACATACCTGACTGTTGGAAGTCTGTAAAGAAGGCAGTGTGGAAAGATAACAGGCTTTGGAGCTAGAGAGAGCACAGTTTGAATGCCAATTCTGGCATCCACCATCTCTGTAACCTGGCACTGAATTACATGACCACTTTGACCCTGTCTTCTCATCTGTAAAATGGGAGCATCACCTACCCCAAAGGATCACTTGGACTAAAAGACAGCGAAGCAACAGCAGATATCAAGGGAAGGGTGACCCAAGTGACTCCGACTCATGGCTGGTGGGGGTATTAAGTGATACAACTCACTTCCAAAAACAGTTTGGCCATATCCAGGAAGAAATAAATATGCATGCCCTAAGGCCCAGTATTTACATTCTCAAATCTTTTTTTTTTTTTTGATGGGCAGCAAAACAAGGTTTATTGAATGATGGTAAAGTGATAGTACAAAGCTCTTGAAGAGGGAGGGGACCCGAGAGGGTTGCCCTCAAATCTGTAGCTTAAGAGAAATACGTATGTGTGTCACGAGAAATATACAAAACTATTTATAGCATTATAGTTCCTTTTAGCATAAAACTAGAAATAACCCAAGTGTCCAACAGAAAATAAACTGTGATATGTTCATATCATAGAATATTATACAGCAACGTAAACATACGAAGTAGGGCTGCAAGTAACAATGTGCGTGAATCTTCCAAATGTTATGTTGAGCAAAACAAGCAAATAATACAAGAGTAAATACTGTATGATTCTACTTATATACACTTCAAAAACTGGCAAAAAGGATTTATATCATCTAGGGATGCAGCCATAGTAGAAACATCATAAGCAAGGAAGAATTAACATAAAAGGACGTGGTTATTTTGGAAGGAAGGAGAGAGGTGTGACTAAAAACAGACACAAGGAGGCTTCTGAGGTGCTCACTTCTAGGGGGTTCACTTTGTGATATTCTTCAAGTTATCATACCACATAGTTGTTTCATGTAATAGGTCACAATAAAAAAAAAAAAAAAGAAGAGTGACTATCCAGCCGAACTGTTGTTCAAATACAAAGGTGACAGAAAAACATGTTGCAACATGTAAGAACTCAGGAAATATGGTTTCCCTGACTCCTTCCTGAAGAAATTACGAGAAGAAAAACTTAATGAACAATGAGCTAAATGGAGAAACTACAACTAAAGGAGTGGTGCAGAGCATTTAATGGATTTAGTCTGATGACTAACTCCTAAATTTGAGGTGTTATGGTTAGAGAAGAGAATGTAAAAACAATGTAATTGGCAAAGGTTAAAATGGGACAGAGACAGAGTGAATAAGTATATTGATTTTCTCGTCTTTCACTGATAAAGCTTAAAAGAGGGTTCTAGAGGGGAGAGGAGTGGGGGGATGGGTTAGCCTGGTGATGGGTATTAAAGAGGGCACGTATTGAATGGAGCACTGGGTGCAAACAATGAATCATGGAACACTACATCAAAAAAAAAAAAAGATACTTAAAGCTGATAGCTCAAGGGAGGTGGGTTGGGGGGATGGGGCAACTGGGTGATGGGCATGAAGGAGGGCACGTGAAGTAATGAGCGCTGGGTTTCATATGCAACTGATGAATCACTGAATTCTACCTCTGAAGCTAATAATACACTATATGTCAATTAAACTGAATTTAAATAAAAACATTTTTTAAAAGCTGATCTCTCGAGTAATAGAGGCATAAGAATGTTTTAGGATATAAGATAAAACTAAAAAATAATATAATCAACTAAAAGCAGGTAAGGAAAGGGCAGGAAATATAACTACTAATTCCATCACTGATCATGGTAAGCAGTCAATAGATGTCTCAAGAAATATGGTATAAAATTATACTTACAAATGTAATCACTAGAATAAAATAAAAATAAAAAGAACAAACTTCCCCAATTATCAGAATAGACACATGAACACCCAACTCCCAAAGCAAGTACAGTCCTTACAGTGAAAGATTTTTCTTTTAAAGAAAACATTAAAAACAGAACTAGAATCAAATATACAGTCATTCCAATAAATCTAAAAGGGCTGAACTTGCCTATTAAAAGAAAAAGGATTGTTACTAAGAGGGGACTGGTTAATTACGGTACATCTGTTAAAAAGAATGAGGCCATTCTATACCCACTGACATGAAACAAACTCTAAAAAAACATTAATAAAAGATGCAGAACTGTATGCATAACATGTCATCATTTTTGTGGAAAACCTTTAAGATAAAACATATTCTCCTACTTACACACGCTTAGAGTATCTCTGAGAGAATACACAAGACACCAATAGCAAGGGTTTGTTAGAGGAACTGGAGGACTGGAGGACCCAGCATCAGAGAGACTGCTTTTTTGTGCCTTACGAACTTTTCTGTGCCCTTCCGAATTAGTATCATGTACATGAACCACCTTTTTAAGAAATAAATTAAGTGATCTTAAGTGGGTTGGGAGGTTTAAACGAGACAATGTGTAAAAAGCCCTTTAGCACAATTCCTGGCAGGTAGTAATAGTAGCAGGTAATGAGGTAAATTTGCAAACATCAGAATGCTACCTGGCACACACTCAGTGTCCAAGAAATGTTGGCTTTCTTCCTCCCTCCCATTTGGTAATTTATTCCTTACCCAACACTTAGGAAGTGGAACAAGGTTATCAAGTACTTTGTTCGACGTAACAGATGTGATCCTGAAGTTGCTTTTAAATAAAAATGCAGCCAATTCAATCATTTTCACATTGATTTCTACTAAGATTCCAGAGAGAATGTTCTTATGTACAATCTTTATGGATATAACTCTGACCTTTTTAGCAATTAAGAATCTCTAACTCCCCAAACTTTTCTAAAAGGTTATTCAATAATTTGTAAACAAACCATTACATATACTACAGAGATACAAATAATACAACTTTAACACGTTTACAGAGTTTACTGAGTTTCGTAGGCAGAGGAAAAGGAGAAAGAAAATAAGAGGGATCAAAGAATAATGGGAGAGTATGATTTACAGAGAGAAAGCTGAAACAAAACAAAGATGAAAACACAAACAAACAAAACAAAAGGCATAGATCAGTGGAACAGAACAGAAAACCCAGAAATAAACCCACAACAATTCTATGGTCAATTAATCTTTGACAAAGCAGGAAAGAATATCCAATGGGAAAAGGACAGTCTCCTCAGCAAATGGTGTTGGGAAAACCAGATGGCAACGTGCAAAAGAAAGAAACTAGACCACTTTCTCACACCATACACAAAAATAAATCCCAAATGGATTAAAGACCTAAATGTGAGACCTGAAACCATAAAAATCCAAGAATAGAACACAGAACTCTGACACTGGCTGTAGCAACTTCTTTCTAGATATGTCCCCTGAGACAAGGGAAACAAAAGCAAAAATACATTATTGGGACTTCATCACAATTAAAAGGTTCTGCACAGGGAGGGAAACAATCAACAAAACTAAAGGCAACCTATGGGATGGGAGAAGATATTTGCAAATGACATATCTGATAAAGGGTTAGTATCTAAAATATATAAAGAACTTCTACAACTTAACACCCCAAAACCAAATAATCCAATTTAAAAATGGTCGGAACACATGAACAGACATTTCTCCAAAGAAGACATACAGATGGCCAACAGACACATGAAAAGATGCCCAACATCACTGATCATTAGGGAAATGCAAATCAAAACTACAATGAGATATCACCTCATACCTGTCAGAATGACTAAAATCAACAACACAAGGGGCACTTGGGTGGCTCAGTCAATTGAGCGTCTAACTTTTGGTTTTAGCTCAGGTCATGATCTCAGGGTCCTGGGATTGAGCCTTGCATCAGGCTCCATGCTCAGTGTGAAGTCTGTTTGAGATTCTCTCTCCCTCTCCCTCTGCTCCTCCCACTCAAATAAATAAATAAATCTTTAAAAAAATAATAAAATGAGGGCGCCTGGGTGGCTCAGTCGTTGGGCGTCTGCCTTCGGCTCGGGTCGTGATCCCAGGGTCCTGGGATCGAGCCCCACATCGGGCTCCCTGCTCCGCGGCGAAGCCTGCTTCTCCCCTCCTTCTCCCCCTGCTTGTGTTCCCTCCCTCGCTATGTCTCTCTCTGTCAAATAAATAAATAAAATCTTTAAAAAAAAAAAATAATAATAATAAAATGAAATAAAATCAACAACACAAGAAACAACAGATGTTGAGGATGTGGAGAAGAAGGAATACTGGTGCACTGTTGATGGGAATGCAAACTGGTGCAACCACTGGAAAAGAGTTTGGAGGTTCCTCAGAAAGTTAATAGGGGCACCTGGCTGGCTCAGTTGGAAGAGCATGTGACTCTTGATCTTGGGGTTGTGAGTTCAAGCCCCATGTTGGGCATAGAGATTACTAAAAACAATAAATAAAAACTTCTGTAAAAAAGTTAAAAATAGAGGGTGCCTGGGTGGCTCAGTTGGTTAAGCGACTGCCTTCGGCTCAGGTCATGATCCTGGAGTCCCAGGATCGAGTCCCGCATCGGGCTCCCTGCTCGGCAGGGAGTCTGCTTCTCCCTCTGACCCTCCCCCCTCTCATGTGCTCTCTCTCTCTCTCATTCTCTCTCTCTCTCTCTCAAATAAATAAATAAAATCTTAAAAAAAAAAAGTTAAAAATAGAACTACCCTATGATCCAGCAATCAACACCACTGGGTATTTACCCAAAGAATACAAAAACACTAATTCAAAGAGATACATGCACCTCTATTTTTTCAGCAGCATTATTTATAATAGTCAAGATATGGAAGCAACCCAAGTACCATCAGTTGATGAATGGATAAAGAAGATGTGGTACATATATACCATGGATTATTATTTAGCCATAAAAAAGAATGAAATCTTGCCATTTGCAACCACGTGGATGGAGCTAGAGAGTATAATGCTAAGCAAAATAAGTCAGTCCAAGAGAGACAAATACCATATGATTTCACTCATACGTAGAATTTCACAAACAAAACAAACGAGCAAACGGGGAAAAAGAGAGAGAGACAAACCAAAACACAGATTCTTAATTATACAGAACTGATGGTTACCAGAAGGGAGGGGGGAAGGGGGGAATGAGTTAAATAGATGATGGGGATTAAGGAGTGCATTGATGTGATGCGCACCAGGTGATGTGTGGAATTACTGAATCACTATATTGTACACCTCAAACTAATATAACACTGTGTTAACTGGAATTAAAATAAAAACTTTTTTAAAAGGGCCACTGATTTGTATTTTAATGTTTGCAAATACTCTAAGATGACTACACTTGAGCTCTCCAAGTCCACAAACCTCTTTATAGCAAAATATAAAGATCAGGGATAAACTCTGCAGGAAGATTTCAAAGGGCTGGTTAGGTGAATGGGGAGAAAAAAAAGAGAGGGTCCTTAGAGTCCCTCTTTTAAAAGAGTATTACCACCTGCCAGTAATCCAGGCAGAAAAAAAGCAAACCTAATTGTGCAGGCTTAAAGGCCAAAGGCCATTAATTACTATCCAGGTAGGGGATCTTAAAATCACAGTAGACTGTTTCTTAAATATGTCAACCCCAATGTGCTGGCACAGCCAGAAAGGCCAAGATAAGTGATGGACTTCCTCAGCAAAGGTATCAGAGCCCAAGTTGAATTTGTTAACATATTCTTGAACTAAACCATGATGTATCTATACCTGAAACACTTTAATTAATCAGTTTATTGAATCTCAAAAAGGAGAGGCAAGACATTCGAAGAGAAACCAAGGGGGCGCCTGGGTAGCTCAGTTGGTTAAGCGTCTGCCTTCGGCACAGGTCACGATCCCAGGGTCCTGAGATGGAGCCCCGCATAGGGATCCCTGCTCAGCCAGGAGCCTGCTTCTTCCTCTCCCACTCCCCCGGCTTGTGTTCCCTCTCTCGCTGTCTCTCTCTCTGTCAAATAAATAAAATCTTTAAAAAAAAAAAAAAAAAAAGAAGAGAAACCAAGATGATCCCAGAGATGAAGAGAGACTGAAGCCTGGTGATGAAGGTGCTTAATTTCCTGGCATTTATAATTCACCTGTCAGTCTGAACCATCCCTACTCCTCCCAAACCACACTCAACTCCAGAGCAGACTGGTCTCCACTCTGCCTTCCAAACATATCTTAGCTACTAAATCAGGCTCTTCTCCCATTTCAGTATCATATTCAATCTGAAACATCCCCTTCAAGATCTATACCCCCCCCACCATGAGATCTTCCCCGACGCTAGCCCCCAGCATCCACTACCCCATGCCTTCTCTGATTCCCTAAAATACATAAATCAGGGCTTATATTGCTTTTAATAAGTAAATAATTTTTAAAAATAAACTCAATTTAGATCATAATATAAGGCACACCCAGGTCAGTGTTCAACTCATACGTACATACGAAAAAAGACATTATGGAGTTCAAACGCTGCACACCCCTCCCTCCTGCCCTTGGAAATCACTTTATTGCATCCGCCATTTTTCACCCTCATCTTTGTTTTTATGTTATTTTCCATGTTTGTATCCCTAAACAATTTATAGTATTGTTTTCCATGTTTTTAAAACTTTATATAGGGGTGCCTGGGTGGCTCAGTTGGTTAAGCGTCTGCGTTCAGCTCAGGTCATAATCCCGGGGTCCTGGGATTAAGCCCCGCACTGGGCTCCCTGCTCCTTTTAGGGAGTCTGCTTCTCCCTCTCCCTGCCCCCACCCCACCCCCAGGCTCATGCTCTCGCTATCTCTCTCTCTCTCTCTCTCAAATATTTAAAAAAACACATTATATAAATGGTACCACACTATACATATGACTTATTTTGACTAGTAATAATAAATGCTACTTTTTTTTAAAGTAGGCTCCACATCCAGCATGGAGCCCAATGCGGGGCCTGAACTCACGACCCTGAGATCAAGACTTGAGCTGATATCAAGAGTCAGACGCTTAACCGACTGAGCCACCCAGGCATCCCTAAATACTACTTTAAATATTACTTAATTTCATGGCTGGCTAACTGGTCTCTCCAAGACAAAATTTAAAAAACATTTGCTCCAGGGGCACCTGGGTGGTTTAGTCAGTTAAGCATCCGACTTTTTTTTTTTTTAAGATTTTATTTATTTGAGAGAGAGAGAGCACAAGCAGGCAGAGGTAGAGGGAGAAGCAGACTCCCCGCGGAGCAGGGGCTCGATCCCAAGACTCTGGGATCAGGACCTGAGCCAAAGGCAGCTGCTCAATTGACTGAGCCACCCAGACGCCCCTAAGCATCTGACTCTTGATTTTGGCTCACGTCATGATCTCAGTGTTCTGAGATCAAGCCCGGCTTTGGGCTCTGTGCTGGGCGTGGTGCCTGCTTAAGATTCTCTCTCTCCCTCTCCCTCTGCCCTTCCCTGCCCCTCTCTAAACAAAACAAAACATTTGCTCCACACAAGTGTAGAAAGCACTTCATTCACATTTTCAAATGAAAAGAAAAATATAGAGAAAAATTAACAAACATCCAGGAACCCATCACTCTGATTTAACAAATGTTAGTATGTGTCACATTTCTTTAAGAAAATAAAGCATTAGGGAGACTACTGAGGTCCTAATTGCAGTCCCCAGTCCTGTTCCTCTTTCTCCCCAGGAGATAACCACTATCCTGAAGGGTGTATGAAATCCGTCCCATCTGTTTCTGTACTTTTACACACATTCCCGTACACATAAACACCATACAATATTGTTTTGTTTTAAAACTGTACACAAAAGATTGCACACTACTTATCTTTCCACATCTTGCTTTTCTCACTCACTCGTGTGTTTTCACCCAGCTGCACTTTGCAGTTTTGTTCTGATTACAAAGTAACATATGTGTAGTGGAGACACCAGAGAGTCAATGATACACGCAACATCCTCACCAGGGGAAGCCACAGTGGCGCCGAGCAGATTTTCAGCTTCTAGAGAGCAGTGGTGACGCCATGTCTTTTTCTGCAGTCCCCTCACCACCTGGTAGAGTGCAACACACCCCAGCAGGCAATTAACAACAGTTAGTGAGCGGAGACGGGAACTCTACAAACCCCAGGCCTCCGCTTAAGCGGGCTAGTGGCTCGTTAGACCTCAACACTAGAAGCAAAGCCCACATCTTGGAGAAATCACACGGCACATGCAAAGAAATGAATGCCACAGCAGATGCCACAACAGAGACAAAACAGCAAAACTCCTGGTCAACCTCCAACATTCTCCTTAATAAAACCAACACCATGGGGTGTATCGGCATAGCTTGTCTGCACAGTTGCAACAGTGCAGAACCCTCGGTAGGAAAAACCAACAGGTGTTTGTTTAGCGCTGACAAAGGAGTGAAAGCAAATATGGGAACAGACCTATCCGATTTAAAGCAAACATGTTTAAAGCAAACATGTTGGCAACTGATTCGGGTTCACACACTCATTTGATGAAGTCTTCCAGAGCTGGGGCTCTATGCTGTTTTGGGATCATTTAGTACCTTCAAATCACTTACTTTATCAGTAAAACATTTCCAAGTTAAGAATAGGTTGTAATATAATGTACCTGCCCAGGCTGGGAGCATAACACTGAGTCCATGTTATGGAAAATAACCAAATGACAGAGGTTTTAGTTGGAAATCTACAGGTTACTAAGTGATTAGACACTTTCTCAACTTCATTTAATGCTAAAGAGAGCTCCTTAACTTTAATAATAAACAATTTTGGGGCGCCCCGCTGGCTCAGTCGGAGGAGTGTGTAACTCAATCTTGGGATCATGAGCTTGCCCCGTGTTGGGTGTAGAGATTAAATAAAACTTAAAAAACAAAAACACTTTCGCTTAAAAAGGAGAAGCCCAAGCAGAGACACCTGGATGGCTCAGTCGGTTAAGTGTCTGCCTTCGGCTCAGGCCATGACTCCGGGGTCCTGGCATTGAGCCCCGAGTTGGGCTCCCTGCTCAGTGGGGAGTCTGCTTGTCCCTCTGCCTCTGCCCCTCCCCCCTGCTTGTGCGCTCACTCTCGCTCTCTCAAATAAATAAAATCTTAAAGGGGCGCCTGGGTGGCTCAGTCGTTGGGCATCTGCCTTCAGCTCGGTCCCTGGACCCCAGGACCCTGGGATCAATAAATAAATAAAATCTAAAAAAAAAAAGTAAAGTTACCAGCTTCAACTCACATCAGTGGATATTTCTCTTTGTCACTCACAGCAGGCATGACTGATAGGTAGGAGTAGATGGTGTGGGGGGCACTGAAGGTGGGCTTTTCTATCTTGTGCTTTTGGAAGTAGGGAGTTGCTGGCCCCATGAACATCTGAGTGTCATGAAATTGTAGAATGTTAGAATTTGACTCTAAGGCCACTGCAAGTAAGAAAACTGAAGGCAGAGAGGGAAAGTGACTTGCCCCAAATCACATTGCAGAACTGCAGATTTCTTGACTCTTAAGTCTACTGCTCTTTCAGTGCTTCTTCTGCCTTCCCTCAGTCTCTGCTAAGATTAGGACACCTGTTGAAGCACCTCATCCAGTCCAGGGGTGTGGGTGCTTCCAGGGAAAAGATGTAGATAAGACCTGGAATGGGAGAGACAAATGTGAGCCAAAGCCCAGCTTGTTTCCCACATTCTGATTTCCAATCCTTCTGGGAAGGCCTTACCAACCCCCTTTTCTTTTTTAAGATTTTTTTTTTTTAAGATTTTATTTATTTGGGGCGCCTGGGTGGCTCAGTTGGTTAGGCGACTGCCTTCGGCTCCGGTCATGATCCTGGAGTCCCTGGATCGAGTCCCGCATCGGGCTCCCTGCTCGGCAGGGAGCCTGCTTCTCCCTCTGACCCTCCCCCCTCTCATGTGCTCGCTCTCTCTCATTCTGTCTCAAATAAATAAATAAAATCTTTAAAAAAAAAAGATTTTATTTATTTGACAGAGAAAGACGCAGCGAGAGAGAGAACACAAGCAGGAGGAGAGGCAGAGGGAGAAGCAGACTCCCCACTGAGCAGAGAGCCCGACATGGGGCTCAATCCCAGAGACTCTGGGATCATGACCTGAGCCAAAGGCAGACACTTAACTGACTGAGCCACCCAGTCGCCCTAAAGCCACTAACTTTAAACTGAACACTCAACTTCAGCCTTAGAGGTCACTGAATCCAAAATTCTCATTTCATAGATAAGGAAATTGAACATGGAGTATTTAAGTACTTTGTCCTAAAACTTGGCTTTTTCTCTGAGTCTATGACATCACAATCCTACCTGACCACCTAAGTCAGAGACCTGGGAGTAGCAACTCCTTGGTTCCTAACTTTTCCCTCACTCCCCAAATCTAATGGTTTACCAAGTCCTATCAATATTCTTAACTTGACCTCTACTTGCCATCGCCCTAGTCCAAGTCTCATCACCTCTCCTTCTATTGACTGCAGTGGCCACCTAACTATACTCACCCTGATCCCCAGTGGGAGTCAGAGGTGGGTGGTGGCTGGAGTGTTTGGAAAGGTGTATGTTCGAAGGGTGTTTGTCCTAATAACTGGTGGGTCTTCCTGGCATTTAGTGGGCAAGGGCCAAGGATGTTAAACATCCCAGAATCCAGTAGAGCTCTGATTAACCCACCCAAAACACCAACTGTATGTTCCCCACCCCTAACTGTTGAAAACACTGGTCCAAACTATTTTCCTCAGGGCAGCCAGAATATCTTTTTTAATTCTTTTTTTTTTTTTAAGATTTTATTTATTTGACAGAGAGAGAGAGCACAAGTGCGGGAAGCAGCAGGCAGAGGGAGAGGGAGAAGCAGGCTTCCCGCAGAGCAGGGAGCCCGATGCGGGGCTGGATCCCAGGACCCTGTGATCATGACCTGAGCCGAAGGTAGACGCTTAACCGACTAAGCCACCCAGGCACCCCAGGGCAGCCAGATCGTGTCACAGCCCCCACCAACCTTTTAATGGCATCCCACTGCTCTTGGGATAAATATCAAAGTCCTTAACTTGGCCTCTCTTTCCAACATGAAGGGCCTGGAAGACTTAGAGAGTTTGGATTTCATTCTAATCACAAATGAAAGTGAAGTCTGCAGAGGGGCAAGAAGAGAAGCAGGAAGCTATAGCAGTGGTTCAGGCAAGAGAGGACTCGGTCTGATCCATGGCAGTCAAGGTGGAGGTGGTGAGAACGACTCAGTTTCAGGGTATATTATGAGCAGCCAACAGGACTTGCTTTCGAACTGGGTGTGGCAGGAAGGGAAAGAGAAGAATCAAATGTTAGGATTTTTGGTCCGAGGAACCTGGTGAACGGTGGGACCGTTAAGTGAAACTGAATGAATGGATTTGCAGGAGAGGGCAGATGTGGAAATCAAGAATTCTGTGTGGCTCAGTCGTTAAGCGTCTGCCTTCGGCTCAGGTCATGATCCCAGGGTCCTGGGATGGAGCCCCGCATCGGGCTCCCTGCTCAGCGGGAAGCCTGCTTCTCCCTCTCCCCCTCCCCCTGCTTGTGTTCCCTCTCGCTGTCTCTCTCTCTGTAAAATAAATAAATAAAATCTTTAAAAAGAAAAAAAAGAATTCTTTGTGAATATGTTAAGTGTGAGATGCCTATCAGACAGCCAAGCGGAGATGCATTCATTGTTCAAGATCCACATGGCAAGAGCTCCCAACATTGGGACTCAGGTTTCTCTCATTTTAATTCAGGGTTCTAATCCCAGTGGTTCCCAAAGTGCAGCCCCCAGGTTAGGAGCAGCACTATCACTTAAGAACTTCTAGAAGCTCAACTCCTCAGGTCCCACCTCAGACCTACTGAGTCAGAAACCCTGGATATGGGGCTGGCAATCTATGTTTCAACAAGCCCTCCAGGTGACTCACTAAAGTTCGAGGACCACTGCTCATCAATAATGAACACCTGATAGCCACAGCCGCCCTGCATTAGGCTTCTCTGTGCCTCTGTAAACCCTCGGCCTAATGAACAATAGGTGGTGCTTTGTTTTCTGGTTTTTTAACCCAAGACTCACTGGGGGCTCCAGACACATCACTGATCAAAGTTTTTGAATTCCAGTTTCAGAAACTAAAGCAAGGGGGAGAAACTAAAAATAAAAATAAGAAAATAAAGGAAAATAAAAAAGGAACTACTACAATCACAACTATTGCGTTCATAATAATATTGAGCACCTCGTATGCACATTCTATGCATTATCTCATTAACCCTCCAAACAGCCTTATGGGGTAGGTACTCTGATAAGGAGATAGGAGATGAGGCACAGAGAGGTTACATAACTTGCCCAGGGTCACACAGCTAGAAAGTAGCAGAACTGGGATTTGAACCCAGGCAGTCAGGTTCCAAACCCTGCATTCTTTTTTTTTTTTTTTAAGATATAATTGACATATAACATTGTGTAAGTTTAAAGTGTACAATGTGCTTACCATCTTAGCATTAGCTAACACTTCTATCAAGTCACATAATTATCATTTCTTTTTTGTGGTGAGAACAATTAAGACCCAGTCTCTTAGCAACTTTGAAGTTTATAATACAGTGCTGTTAACTATAATCACTATGTTGTGCATGAGATCCCCAGAACTTATCTACTAGTTTTGAGTTTCCAGAGCCTGCATTCTTAACCACATGGTATATAGTGTCCCCTATCTTTCTAGACATCTATACAAGAACCATTTGATGTAATAAGCACATGAGGTTCCCACGAATAACTGAGAGAACTTTAAAAGATGTTTCATTCCATCAAGTTACCATATAACCCAGCAATTCCACTCCTACAATAACTCAAAAGAATGGAAAACACATCCAACAAAAACCTGCACATGAACTTCATAACATTGTTTAGAATAGCCAAAAAGTGGTAACAACCCAAATGTTATCAACTGATGAATGGATAAACAAAATGAGGTATAGTAACACAATGGAATATTATTTAGACATAAAAAGGAATAAAATATTGATGCATGCTACAACATGGATGAGCCTTGAAAACATTATGGTTCATAAAAGAAGCCAATCACAAAAGGCCTCTTTTCACATTATTCCATTTATATGAAATAGATTTACCAGAATAGGTAGATCCATACATACATACATAAGGACAGATTAGTGGTTGCCAGGGGCTGAGGTGAGGGGATGGATACAAGGTTTCTTTCTGGGGTGATGAAATGTACCTAAATTAGTGGTGATGGTTACACGGAACCACCTATACTTTAAATGAATATACAAAATACCCCTGAATTGTACACTTTAAAAGGGTGCATTTTTATAGTATGTGAATTATCTCAATAAAGCTGTTATTTTTTAAAAGGATGTTTAATTCATTTTAAACTTAGGCTAACTTACTAAATAAAATTCCTACTTGTTGTCATTAAGGTTGCTAGACCACAATCAAAGAAACTGAAAGTAACTGCCATCCCTTTGAATTTTTACCTTTCAATCTGCAGAGAAAACTAGTTTCACTTCTAGGTTGCCATGGACCCAGAAACAGCCATCTATGTCATTTCCCTCCCCAGGAGAAAGTTTTTCTTCACCAACATTGAAAGAGTGTAAATGAAAAAGTTCTATGCTTGAGAAAATGCCCTAATCTTTTCCTTAAATCAAAGCACTTTCTATCTAAAAAAAACTTTAATCTTCTCCCATAACCAGCAGCTGCTAGGGCTCCGCACTAAAAGCACCCAGCTAGACAACAGTTCTCTTCAACCAGCAAGGTACTTAAAAACTGTTATGAATTGTGGCAACATTTTAATGCCTCAAGATAAACAATGAACATAAATACCTAGTACTGGACTAAGGATCTGAGAAACATTCTTTTAAATGTTTACTTGCTCTAATAATAACAGGAATCCTCATAACTAGTATTTATCAAGCAACTATAATGCGCCAAATAAACACGGTCTTGGGTTCTTCACAAATAAGATGTCTAATTTGGTCCTCACAGTAACCCTGAGGAAGGTATTTTTATTCTCATTTCATAGATAAAGAAACTGAGGCCCAGAGCTATTGAATAAATCATTTGTCATTGATCACCCAGGTATGAGAATCCAAATAATAACTCGTCTTTCTGAAATCAAATGTTCTCTATTCCTCAATATTCCTCTTCAAAATGAAAAAGGAAGCCAGAAACATGAAGAAACTGAAAAGACTCCTCTTCCTCTCACAAAAGTAATGCTCTAAAAAAAAGTTGACTCTTCCTAGAGTCCAAAACAGGAAATACAGAAAACAAAAAATTGTTAATAACAACCAGCAGTCAGCAGGCACAAAAGACCATGCTATGTCCCGCATTTCAAATACTGCTTCCTGATTTAACAGTTTTCCCACTGATTCTGATTACAACCTTAGGAGGTCAAAATTTAATGATCTCACCATGGAAAACCCCAGAGAACAGCAGTTGTGAGACTGGAGAGAGAGCTCACTAGACCAGGAAGGAAAAGGAATCAGTTCCCAGGAAGTGGTGCCTATCTAAAAACATAGAAGTCTTCAGCATTAATATTAACACTGTCATTCCACAGCTCTTTAATCTGAAGCTATTTCTGCATTCCCTTGCATTATTTTAATACTGTATTACTAAAAGCTGATTCCCATTCTCCATATGTCTAATAGAATCCTAAGTAAAATAAGACTGCTTATAGCCACCACTGACCCTAATTTCTGCCTTGCTATTAAAAACAAAACAAAACCACACACACACACACACACACACACACAAATTCAAAGGATTATCCCTAAAGGAAAAGACCTTAATCAATTAAGAAAAGTAGCATGTGGGGCAGAACCAAACATGAATTTCATCACCAAGTAGACTATGGCTGGCAGAAATCTTAAATTCACGACTGAAATACACATTCCTTATACTTCTCAGGGCTCCGGCCAAAACACACTGAAACTATAAACCAACAGCGGACTGATGGATGACCAAATGCTAAGCTCTCAACATACATCAAAAAGGGAAGGGGGGCGAGTAGCTTAGAAGGTCTGCTCTCCAACTAAACAACTGAAGAATGAAAGCATTTGCACAAGAGCTTGACAACGGGGGGGGGGGTAAGAGGTCACTTGGGGTTGAACAAATTCACAGAAAATGTTAAAGAAATAACCTCGATTCTTGAGTCACTCTGTAATCATTTCTAATGGGAAGTGGCCAACTCAAGATAAAGTAAGGTCGAGCTTGAGAATTTTCCTCACTTTTCCTATCCCCCTGGATACAATTCCAAGCTCCCACCAGAACCTTTTGGGAGTCCAAGAGAGAGATTCTCATGTACTGACCTGGAGGGAGCAAGGGAAGGGGCCATCCTTATGCAAACAACCACCCGTGCGTGGTGGAGACCCCCAAGGAGGAGTTCTATTTAAAGTGAGAGGCAGCTCTGGTGATGACCCTCCAAACCCAGGACGGACACTGGCTACTCAGCCAACTCCACTGTCCCTTATGCCAGGCTGCGGCCACCTCCCGGCTAAGGGCAGCCGCTCCAGCGCCCTCCGCCCCCAGATCCCGGTCTGCTCCCACACCCAGCCATTCCCAAAGCTCGCTGCTCGCTCCTTTGCCCGACAGCTGACCCGCCGCCACCAGGCAATCCCAGCTCCCCCAGCCCAGGTTCCCCAAACCAGCCTTTCGGGGTCACTGACGCCCCAGGGCCGCGGGATTTAAGGCTTAGGATCTGGAGGGTTTGGTCCAATCTCCTCTTCCTTTCGGCGTCCTGGGCTTACCTTCCCGGCAGCTTGGCGCTCCTCTTCCAAAACTGCTTGCTGTTCTCGGCGGCCATTGCTCTGGCCGGGGAAGGCCTTGTAGGCGGGCCAGGGGGGTACCCGGCGAGATGCCCCCAGGACCCCGCAATCGGAGGGCCAACCCAGGCCGCTTCCCCGCCGCCGGTCACCCGCTCCCAGCTCCTGGGGGCGCCATCTTGGATGTGGGCACCCCCCCACCCAGCGCCGCTGCCATTGGTGGTTGCGCAGGCCGTGGTCAGACGGACCAATAGGAAGCCGGAATCCTGCAGGCCACTGAAGCCTAACGGTAACGTCAGGAACTGGGCACACAGGTGGACCGGGAAGGCGGGGCTTGGACAAGCAGGGAGGCGGGGCTGAAAGTTCCCTAACCCCAGGAGTGGAAGAAGCAGGTAAAGAAAAGGACCCATGGGAAGGAAGAAAGGGTACTGTTTTGGGGGGTGGGGGCGTGGGGGGAGGGAGAACGAGGTTCCTGAGCCTAATATTTTTTTGGAAAGAGAGAGCATATGTATTTAGGTACATAAATCTTTGACCTAAAAATAAGGGCCCATGTGTTGGTTGCAGCCCATTTTTAACATCTTCTCAATCAACGACACTAGTTATTATCCTCCCCACACTTCCCCGTTCCGTTTGGGGTCCGATTTTTTTTTAATCTATGAAGGAAGATCAGTACGGATCCAGTAGACCCGGGGTGCTAACTGTTCAACACGTGAGTAACGGTTGTTTCATAAGGGTCTCCCACTCCTCTGGTAACTGATCACATTAAAGGATTTGTGTGCTGTGGGTAAAATCAAATGATTTAATCTCTGTTTCACCATTAACTGCCACTTTCTGACTATGACAACCCAGATACTGAGAGTGTTAAGGTATGTTCTTATTTTATCCATCCAATTCAGACTACCAAGTAACATTTCTTGCGAGGACGTAGCATATCTCCAAGGCGCGAATCACGAAGATTAGATATACCCCCAAACATCTTTAATGTAATCTATCACCCTTGAATTTATTTTCAATCTAGTTTTACTCAGAATGAGATTTGATACGGCCTTTTGAATCTTTTGAATGTTTGGTTGGTGTTTTTGCTCTTTTTGCGTTTCCGTGATTGTATACCACAGTGATTGCGGTGGGAGGGGTGAAGGGGGGGCAGGGAGTACCCAGTCCAGAGGAGTTTTTGTCCGAACAAAGAACTGTTGAGGTGGGCTCCTGTCCTCCGTCTCTGCTTTGGTTTAGGGCTGCAACACGCCCTTCCACATACTGGAAAACATCTGAGGGCGCCCTGTCTAAAAACGAACATATGCCCTCAAATGTCCATTTACTATGTAGACATTACCCTCATTTCAAGCTTCTTTTACACCCTAATTTTACAACCATGATATTGTATGAAACGGGCTGTTTTTACTTTCTATTAATTTTTTCAAACTTCCATAGACTTTCGTCATCTCAGATAGTCACTTTCACGGGCATTTAATCCATCAAACAAAAGCCCCTCTAGTCTTTTAATCGTTTTATCTACCTTTCTTTGGCTCTTCTTTTTCTTAGAATGCAGTAACCAGCACTGCTCCCTGAGCTCCAGGAAAAGTTTCCTGAGGTTTTTGTTGAAGCTGATGTTTTGTCTTTAATCTGAACAGCCAGAACTTTTGCTGGCATTTTGGACTTTACAAGAGCTGACATCTCGAAGAAATCGTGTACAGCAACTTCTAGATCCCTTTCTTTGGTGGCAACTGGCAGGCAGTTCAGAGTTCTTTATCTTTAAGGAATCATCTGAATTGTCTCCCCCTATGTGAGCTGCCTCACACTTGTCCACGTGGCAAGTCACCCGCCACTTTCCAGCCTACTCACATCACTTTAGAAATGTTCCAGAAGATGCTCCCCATTGACTTGACATTTCACTGTGTGGAAAGCAGAGTATAATTTGTGTACCTAGAAATGTCTCCAAGTATTGCTTTTTCTTAATCATTTGTGAAATCTTAAATAACACAGATTCCCAGGGGATGCTGTTAACATTGTTCGATCTGGAGAAGCTCTATTATTCCTACTCTTTTTCTTCTACATCGAAGACAAATTCTCATCCAAAGGAAAAAAAAAAAAAGAAAAGAAAAAAGAAAAATATTTCCCTGTAGTCATCTGATAACTTTTTAAATCATCTTTATTAAGGAAGTTGAGGTGGTTGGGCCCTCTCTCACCACTGCCATCATCATCACCAGAATCTAAACCAACCACATTTTTATAGCAGCCTCCTATCAGTCCTTCCTGCTTACACTCTTGCCCCCTTAGAGTCTATTCCCCACACAGCATCCAGAGTGAGCCTTTTAAAATGTCAGTTGGATTGTGTCATCCCTCTGCTCAATACCATGACTCCATCACACTTGGCATAAAATGCAAGCTCCTCAATGAACCTAAATGACTTGGTTCTACTCTCTTTCTTGCTTCATCTGCTCCAACCACACTTATTGGCCTTTTTCCTGCTTCTTGAGTACTCCAAGTATATTCCCACTCAAGGCCTTTGTATTAGCCACTTCCTCTGCTTGAAATTCTCTCCCCCCAAATATTTGGATGGTTTGCTCCCTTGTCTCATTCAGATATATTCCTAAGAGTCTTCACATGGGGAGGGGGGTGCCGCCCGTGACCACTCATCTTTTTTTTAACTTTTAAAAGATTTTATTTATTTATTTGAGAGAGAGAGCGTGCACAGAGGAAAGGGCAGAGGGAGAGAATCTTTAAGCAGACTCCCCACTGAGCACCGAGCCTGACACAGGCTCAATCTCACGACCCATGAGATCATGACCTGAGCTGAAACCAAGAGTCGGACCCTCAACTGACTGAGACACCCAGGTGCCCCCCTAACCACTCATCTTAAACAACAGTCTCCACCACTCTATTTTTGTTGTCTATCTCCATCTCCTAGAATGTAACCTCCACTGAGGCAAGGATTTTGTCTGTTTTGTTCTCTGCTCTTGTCACCTAGAATACCACTTGGCACATAGTGCACAAGCACTTAATATGTACTAAGTAAGAGAATGAAAAGTATAAATTGTTCTTGTCTTTTGGTCCTCTGTTGTTCATAAACATTTTTTTTGTTGGAAAAGATGATAGAAACCATGTTTTCTAACAGCTAGTAGGATGTATCCACCTTACCAAAGTTTCTATAAGCTTTCCTGTGCTCTTGGTTGAAGAGCAATCTTCCTATCTTGGGAAAGATTGTCCTCTTCAAACTCTTTTAGCTTCAGAGAAATGAAGCTGTACCTAAAATGATGAGGGAGGGAGGCCACCCACCTAGCCAAGAGATGAATTGAATCAACCCTGTCCATCAAAGGGGTGATAGCTGTGGGAGCCAAATTATCTTCACAGCAAATTTTGCCCAACTGGAGGTGAAAATCATTGGTTTGAGGTTCCCAAGGGGTCCCTGGAGCACTTTTGATGGAGCCTCAGTGCAGATACTTGCTGGCTCACTTAGTCCTCTCATACCTCAGTGTACGTGTGATTATGTTAAAAGCCTAGATTCTGATTCAGCAGGTCTGGGCTAGAGTCTACAATTCTGCATTTCTAATAGCCCCCAGGTGACACTGATGCTGCTGATTTGTGGACCTCACTTTGTAGATCTGTTTCTAGCGCAGTATGACCTGTGACCCTTGAATTTATTCCAAAGATTTGATTATTTTTTTTAAAATTTATCTTTTAAAGTTATCTCTACTACACCCAGTGTGGGGCTGGACCTCACGACCCAGAGATCAAGAGTCTCATGCTCTATTGACTGAGTCAGCCAGGTGCCCCGGATTTGATTATTTTGAAAATGTAAATAGAAGACTCTCAATGTTATCTGCCTGCAAGTTTTTAACTTTTCTCTCCTTAACTTCATCTTCATTCAGAGAGTAAAACAACTTAATTGGGGGCAAAGTAGAGTTAAGGGAATGAGCCACATGTGGGTTGCATGTGGATTCAAAAGAGGTGGGTGTATCACAATCCTTAGAGTAAGTTCTGTGGAAGAGATAAGCTCTGAGTAGAGACGTGCAGGGAAAAAAAAGAGAGAGAAAGTCTTGAAGAACAGTAGAAAGGAGCTTGATTGGGGAAGATAAAAATCCTTTGGACTTAGTTACGAAGAGATCGCTGGCAGACTTTAACCTCAGCAAAGGAGTGAAGTGGACACTATGGTGAGAGGCAGGGTTAAGACAGGTGAGCAAGAGGGGCGCCTGGGTGGCTCAGTTGGTTAAGCGACTGCCTTCGGCTCAGGTCATGATCCTGGAGTCCCAGGATCAAGTCCCGCATCGGGCTCCCTGCTCAGTGGGGAGTCTGCCTCTCCCTCTGACCCTCCCCCTTCTCATGTGCTCTCTCTCTCTTTCAAATAAATAAATAAAATCTTAAAAAAAAAAAAAGGTGAGCAAGAAGCAGCTGTCACGGGGCGCCTGGGCGGCTCAGTTGGTTAGTCGTCTGCCTTTGGCTTAGGTCATGATCTGGAGATCTCGGGATTGAGCCCCATGTTGGGCTCCCTGCTCAGCGGGGAGTCTTGCTTGTCCCTTTCCCTCTGCCCCTTCCCTCCACTCGTGCTCTCTCCCAAATAAATGAAAATCTTAAAGAAAAAAAAAAGGAAGAAAAAGAAGCAGCTCTCACAATGCACCACAGAATGTTGTGTTGGGTTACCAAAGGGATGGTGAAGTCAATCTGGAATCTAAAGGCAACAGAGGTGTCTCGGTACCTAAACATCCTCTAGAAAGAACAAATGAGAGAGATCAATTATATTAGAGAAAGCAAAGGGATAAGCAAAGTGGCTGAAGAAGCAAGAGGTTATTGAAATAAAGAGAGGAAGAGTGGTTACAGTTTGGGGGGTGGAGGGAAGATTAAGAATTTCATTCCTAGGAATTTGTTCTAAGAAAGTCAAAAGGAGTGGGGGAAAGCTCTGTGTACAAAGATGATCTTTGCCTTGTAACCAATAATAAAGGGGGGAGAATGAAAAGAATATAAAGGTTTAAATATGAGATGGTAGTTACACAAAGTATGATGTGTGGTTTGTAAACAACCATCCTATGTCATTAAGTCGTGCAAATTTGAATGCCTCATAGCACATCAAAAAAGTTTATGAAATGATGTACAGCAGGGAAAAAGCAGAATGCAAGAATGTCTTTGCCTGATTTCAATTAGAAAAGATGGGTTTTGTCAAAGACTGAAGAAAAC